AATAGGAGAATAAATATTGTGTACGCCTAGGGCGTGGCTTTCCAGCCTTCACACAGATCGCCATTACGGCAGTATGTCTGAACATGTTAGCAAATGCCTGATAATTAAAATAAAAGACAAAGCAAAGACTGCGGAGCGTACCAAATAAAATGTTACAAAAACATATAAACACCTAACCGATTACTATTTGGGTTTGAGGCGACATTGATACGGCGAAGCTACATGCTACATGCTACATACTACAAGCTAGAGATAGCTTTATCAGGAAAAACACCGCTAAATAAAAACTTACGGCTTCAAAATTGGATGTGTCCTCACTGGCCTGGTCCCGGATGGTTGGTATTGATCCCGGGTTTAGCATTAGTTTGGAGGCATATCCGTGTTGGACTTGAGAGAAGTTCATAAACATGTCCGTCGTAAAAATGTTTGGAACACAGTAACACACCAACAGAAATCTGCCGTGGTCTTCTGGCACATGTCCCTTGAAAATGAAGTCTAGCCACAGATTATTTTCTTTTTCCACTGATGGCATTGCATGCAGTCCCCTTTCTCGAGTCTTGCCGCCAACAACAGCACAACGTTTAACTGGCTTAGACATCCTGACAAGAGCAGACACAAACACAGGGCTCTCAAGTTTTGAACAGAGTTCAGAGTGAGATTTTGGCAGCGGCGGGGCTTTGGGTGGGGACGGTGGTCTTATCTGATAAATGACACATACATTCATACAAATAAAAACATATTTATTTCATTCTTAGTAAAGTGATGCGTGTGTGTGTGTGTGTGTGTGTGTGTGTGTGTGTGTGTGTGTGTGTGTGTGTGTGTGTGTGTGTGTGTGTGTGTGTGTGTGTGTGTGTGTGTGTGTGTGTGTGTGTGTGTGTGTGTGTGTGTGTGTGTGTGTGTGTGTGTGTGTGTGTGTGTGTGTGTGTGTGTGTGCAACACGTTCTCACTCCCATCCCGTCACATATTGACGAACGGTCAGGGCCCCTCCCCGTTGCTATGTGACGTACAGGGTACCCCTTGCCCGTCAGGCTGATACGGGCAGGGCGTCCCATAGACCTTCATTGCGGACAGCGGACCCCTTGACCGTCAGGCTTCTACGGGCAGGGCGTCCCATAGACCTTCATAGACCACGTGATAACAAAACAATGGCCGACCTTCGTGTTATTCTCGGTGGAAAAGGCCTATTTTAAGGTTCATTTGGCCAATAAAATGCGTTTTGATGTCATTTTATGCGATTAATGAGTTGTTATTTCTGATTATTTGTGCAGTACATGTACATGATGTTTAGTTTGCTAGTTATGACGAAGATTACTTCATGAATGTGTACACATTCATGGTTGCTAAGGTGGTTGCTATGGACGCTGCAACAGCTCCCAGACCACGTGATCAACAACAATGGCCGACCTTCGTGTTATTCTCGGTGGAAAAGGCCTATTTTAAGGTTCATTTGGCCATTAAAATGCGTTTTGATGTCATTTTATGCGAGTAATGAGTTTTTATTTCTGATTATTTGTGCAGTACATGGACATGGTGTTTAGTTTGCTAGTTATAACGAAGATTACTTCATGAATGTGTACACATTCATGGTTGATAACGTTTTTTTGGTGGAAATGTGTTTTTTCACAGCAAAGTCACCCTCTGTACTTGGACTTATTGGGAGAATTTAAAGGCAAGAACATCCCAAATATTCATTTAGGTCTTTATTTTAGACCTTTAGTGTTGCCGTCTGTGAGGAAAATAAACGGGGCTCAGAGCCTCGTATTTTTAAAATATTTTTTTCCTTCTAATTTGTTATTCTTCTCAAAATAGCACACTGTTATTTACTCACCAATAACACACAATTATCCTTGCTTTTATTTATTGGTTTAATTCCATAATCTCGGGCTTTTTTGGCGTTCGCCAGGAACTGAATTTCAAAATAAAAATAACCGGAAACAGACGTAGGCCTATAAGGGACATTTCGAGCATCATTGCGATTGTCAACATTTTTGAGTTTAGGATGGCCGAAGACACTACACTACCCATAATCCCCAGCTATCGTTTAGGACTACAGTCCCCGTGATTAATCTTCAAGGTCTGGGATTGGATGTTGGAGTGGCAGTGCGCCAAGGTTACGCCGAGCGTCAAACAGCTGTTTAAAATGGAACGAAACCACGCCAGACTATCCAAAACTGGAATCGAACGCCCCCCCAGAACTATACACTATTGTGTTTCGCAAAATGTTCTATGGGACGTCTCTACTGAACGTTTTCCCCACAATTAGAAGTTGCCAGTATTAAACACATTGGTGTTATCAAATGTAAAACATATAATTAATAAATGGGTGAAAATCGCTGTCCATAATGCGCAGCATTAATATATAGCATTAATATATACCCACATGACAGCTCATTGATACTTTGTAATTCTACTCAACTACAATTCAGAGGTTAACCTGGTATTTTTACTCCACTACACTTATTTTAGTTACTTTGCAGATTCTGATTAATGATTAGTTACACCTGAGTCAAATTCAGGTAAGGTGATTGTCAAGTGCCAACAATCAGGAGAGATATTTGATAGTTGGTGCTTGAGAAGACTAAACATGTATCTGCAATTGACATGAATGGAAACGAGTAATAAAGTATATTAATTACTCGTTATTCTCTACTAATAGTTAATTAAAGACTGTATATTATGGCTATTTTGCACATCCCTTTCAAGATTTTCAAAGGTTTATTGACATATGATATCATATACACAACTACGGTGTAGTTATGCAATCAACAGTTTATTACAAGACATCTATCAATATGTGTGTCCCTCCACCATTAAACTGTCATATTCTGCACATTTCTTATTCTATCTATCTACATAAGAGTATAATCCATATGTATAATATCAGTTAAAATAAGTGCTTCAACATAGTTAACATTGCAGGAAAGCAATATATTAGACGTTAAGTACTTTGTCAGGCTTAATATTTATCTGTAGATAGATACCCCCAAAGTTGTTTTCTTATTTAAAAGAAGACCTTAATCTGTTATTTCATGTTTAAATAAAGGTTAATTCGTTTTTCTGTTTTGCACCTCCTCCTATTAATATCTTTGTACATTCTGCACTAAACTGTTTTATTGTAGAGATCACTTATAGTATCTTCTTGATTTTTTATATTCTATATTTATACTTTTCCCCCTATGAAAGTATGTACTCTTAATATTTTTTTAAACAAATAAAACACATAAAAACAATAATTCAATAACGTGCTTTAACCACTAGGCGGTGCACACAAGGTACACACAGCCATAATAACTTTGTATTATTAGTGTTGGACACTTGTATGTACAACATCTGAAGATGTGTAGTTTTATTCATGCTTTCACATAATTTTACAGCATATTGCTATACTATTTCAGACTCAGTATTTACATTCTTACATTCAAAATGCAATCCAATTCAAATCAGTAATATCTTTAAAAACTACAAATCCTTTTATATTTAGCTGTGCACCGTTATGGTGTCAATATAACCTATCTATGAATTATATCAAATGTAAAAGTCTGCCGAATTAGTGTTGATACTGCAAGGAGACGTATTGTGTGAAGAGAAATTGAAGATGTTGTTTAATTGTTGAAATATTTATGATCCACGTCAAATATTCAGTTTCGGCGGCATTTCTTCAGTTTTTCCAAAGGTCTTCTCATCAGGGCTCTATAAATAAAGAACTACGGCAGATCTGTAATATACAATGCAGCCGAACCGTGTATTACAATGCCGTTATGTGATGACTTTCAAAGAGAAAAGCAAGAGCACTCGGAATTAAGTATTATTTTAAAATGTTTTCCGGATTTCATATAATATAAACACCAAATCCCAGCATGCATTGCGGCTAAAACATCCAATCAGCGTAGCTGAGGATCTTGGGTAATCGCTCGAAATGCCTACGTCTGTTTCCGGTTATTTTTATTTTGAAATTCAGTTCCTGACGGACGCCAAAAAAGCCCGAGATTATGGAATTAAACCAATAAATAAAAGCAAGGATAATTGTGTGTTATTGGTGAGTAAATAAAAGTGTGCTATTTTGAAAAGAATAACAAATTAGAAGGAAAAAAAGATTTTAAAAATACGAGGCTCTGAGCCCCGTTTATTTTCCTCACAGACGGCAACACTAAAGGTCTAAAATAAAGACCTAAATGAATATTTGGGATGTTCTTGCCTTTAGATTCTCCCAATAAGTCCAAGTACAGAGGGTGACTTTGCTGTGAAAAAACACATTTCCACCAAAAAAACGTGTACACATTCATGAAGTAATCTTCGTCATAACTAGCAAACTAAACATCATGTACATGTACTGCACAAATAATCAGAAATAAAAACTCATTACTCGCATAAAATGACATCAAAACGCATTTTAATGGCCAAATGAACCTTAAAATAGGCCTTTTCCACCGAGAATAACACGAAGGTCGGCCATTGTTGTTGATCACGTGGTCTGGGAGCTGTTGCAGCGTCCATAGCAACCACCTGAGAAACCATGAATGTGTACACATTCATGAAGTAATCTTCGTCATAACTAGCAAACTAAACATCATGTACATGTACTACACAAATAATCAGAAATAACAATTTATATTAATCGCATAAAATGACATCAAAACGCATTTTATTGGCCAAATGAACCTTAAAATAGGCCTTTTCCACCGAGAATAACACGAAGGTCGGCCATTGTTGTTGATCACGTGGTCTATGAAGGTCTATGGGACGCCCTGCTCGTAGAAGCCTGACGATCAAGGGGTCCGCTGTCCGCAATGAAGGTCTATGGGACGCCCTGCCCGTAGAAGCCTGACGGGCAAGGGGTACCCTGTACGTCATATAGCGACGGGGAGGGGCCCTGACCGTCCGTCAATATGTGACGGGATGGGAGTGAGAACGTGTTGGTGTGTGTGTGTGTGTGTGTGTGTGTGTGTGTGTGTGTGTGTGTGTGTGTGTGTGTGTGTGTGTGTGTGTGTGTGTGTGTGTGTGTGTGTGTGTGTGTGTGTGTGTGTGTGTGTGTGTGTGTGTGTCAGTGTTTTTTGTTGTAGGTGTTGGTGGCAGTTTTTGAGGCCTTCAGCACTGGGGTTGGTGGCTCCCATCTGAAACAGTTTGGTTCCAGGCCTGCCATCTTCACTGTCATGATGGAGGACAGTGTTCCATCTAGGGCCAAGCTGTTCCTAGTTTTTGTCTTGTTCAGTCCAACCATCGAGAAAACCCTCTCCGCGTCGGCATTAGAGTGAGGGAGCACTAGAACAAGTTGAGCTATTTTAGTGAGCCTCCCAAACTGGCTCAAACCGGTCACCTTTAACAAAAGGAACCAAGAGACTATTACTCAAATGCTTTGCTTTTGATTTCAATTGATTATGTGTATGTCATGTGGTGCCACATATTTCTTACCTTGCACTTGATTGAGGACACACTCCCCCAAAACTCCTCAACATTAAAGGTGGTGGGATCTTGGGGCATGGGGATATCCACCAGCTGATATTCCAGGAACTGCTCACACACCTTGTCCTGTTCCTCCGGCCCATGGAAAGGTAGTAGTTCCTGAAATCTAAAAAGAGCACCATGTGTAAAGAACTGATTAATGTATTCAATCAAAGTATTGCAATCCTGGAAAATGTGGAAACCCTTACCTGTCTATAAAGTATAGGGCATCTTCCACCCCACACTCAGTCCTCTGCTACACATCCACAAATCTTGTATGCCTCAGAAGAGCCTCCTTCAGAGGGAGTTTATTGATGCCATACTCCACAGCCCTGACCAGAAATGCCAGTGCTGCCTGTTGGAATAGCTTCACCTCCTGAGGTGTGATGTCTCCAGCCGCAAGGAGCCTATTGAGGGTAGCTCTGGTGGTGAAGCCAACATTTAGATTTTCTCCTACCAGACAGAGAACAGAAAGAGATAGAGAAGCAAATTAAGTCCAGGTAGTTTCAACAATATGCATCAGGTAGAGACAGGGATTTCACTTGGCAATTTAACTCAAAACTAGACAAACAGTCAGTGTATAGATTCAGTCTGTCTAGTTTTGAGCACTATGTGCACAATAAGTGCAAGTGGTTGAAGGTATTCCTCTATGTAAGCATACAATTTTACCCATAAACTACACAAGCCTACACACATGCTTTTTAACAGCCATAACAGAGATATCACCCAACTTGCCCAATAACAACAATCTTCCCAAAAAGTATATTTGAGGTCAATGAGAATACAGGTGTATCTCCTTATATGAAACTTTTACCTGGCAGTTGGTTTAGTGGGTCCTTGTAGAGGATGTCATGGACTTGTCGGCCCTGTAGTGCTGACGGCTTCATGAACCTCGCACACAGTTTCTTGATGAACTTTGTCATCTGCAAATTTGTAGTTCATAAAACATTTCCATGTATTACTTGAAAAAGGACATATCAGCCAATTCAAGCAGACATACTGTATTTGGCAGCAGGATGGCCTAACCCTTGCATTTTACCTCTCCGTGGAGCTGAAAGATGGAAGACCTTTCTCTCTGGAGGAGGAGGTTCAGTAGGGTGAACACTGGCAGCGTCGCTTGATAGAAGAGTAGATAGACTTCAGTCAGGGGGTTGGAAAATGCATCCACCAGCCTTCTAAATCTTGGTTGTTTCTCATCTGTAAATAAACACAGTCAGTGCTTAAAAGTACACATTTAGTCTGGTGTAATGCACCTGTATTACTGTCAATGAAACAAACAACATACTTAAAGACTTAAAATAGCTGGTAAGTGGCCCATACTGTCGCAGAATTCGTGTGATGCACCTCTCCAGGCTTAACCATCGCACTGAAATGTGCAGCAGCATTTCCATGTACTCGCTCTCATGGAATTCACAAAATTCTGGAAAATATAAAACATAACATCAACAGTAAACAAATTGAAAATTTCTGCATTTTGTTCTATAACAGTAGAGCTGGTTGAATCACAAACCTGCCAGGTAACCTTTACGGTTGGTGCTTCCTTTAAACCAGTACCCAACATCCACGGTCAGATCCTCTGGATCAAATCCGGATATCTGCAATACATGAATTCAAGTATCTATTGCAACACTATCAGCAAACTGTTTTACATGGCATTGGGCTTAACGGATTGGTAATATAGAGTGTACATGTTTGAACTTACTTCCATAAACTTCTGCCCCGCATGTTTGGCAGTGTTGTGGATGATATGACAGGGGCATCCATGGATGTAAATACTGCCATTTTCCTTCAACATTCTGGCTGAGATTGAATTTCTGGCACCTGTATTTACAGGGGCATTGTCAATAGAGAGACCTACACAATTTCTCCAAGGGATGTCATTTTCCTGCAAGGCGTCATTGATTTTTGTGTAGATCACTTCAGCGGTGCCACAGCTCCGCCCACTGGTGGTGCACATATCAAGGAACCTGTGCACAACTTTGTTGGTGTCAAAAATTCTGACAGTGAGAGGATTCATCTTCTCTAGACCTGTAACAATAAGGACCATAACTAAAACAATATGTTGTTCAAATTGTATGAGTGCATGTAGAAATGGATAAAAAATAAGTACTAATTACTGATAGAAGTTGTTAAGCACATACCAGTATCATTCGAGCCATCTGTGACAAGTGTGAAGGGATTCTCTCTCATCTTCATCACCAGTTCCTTCTTAAAATGAGGTGCCACTGCTTCATTTATGAGGCACGTTGTTTTTGTGCTTGCGCTCTTAAAGCCCTGAGCTGTAGGGGAGTCTCTAAAACATTCTTTGTACAAGGGGCTGAAATGGTCAGCAACGGCAAAGGGAACATTGTGCTGCACCATTGCAACAGCAACCTTCACCTCAGCCCTCCTGGTCTGCAACAGAAACAACTGATTACATACCTCATAACCTTAAATACGTTTTCAAGGTAATATGACCATCAATTTGAAGAGAAATGTAATTCATCAAACATTGCCACCAGCTTTTTAGTTTTCCTGTGCTACACTGTACTGTATGTACCTTGGCCTCTTGTACACTCATGCCTCCAACAGAAGTTTCTGGCACGTAGAACTGTGCAATACTGCTGACTGAGTTTAGAGACTGTTCTTTGGCCCGATGTCCCTTGCCTTCCACATGCCTGCTTATGTCCCTCACGCCTTGATGAGCACAGGAGCTCTCTTGTCTGCACACTGAGCACCAGTAGAAGGAGCTGGTGGTTCCCATTGTGATGAATGGCCATCGAGTTGACCACTCCTTCTTAAAAGAACACCTATATGTGGCTGCTCCACATAATCCTCTCCTTTTCTCTGTTTCCAATGGGTTCTCCCCAGTCTCCTCCACTGCCTCTTCTACCTCCTCCACAGTCTCCTCTACTGCCTCCTCTACAGTGTCCTCTGATCTGGCCACCTTTTTAGGGAGCTGATTGTTTTTGAAAGCATGAAAGAATACTTAGTTGCCTCTTTCCTGACATCTTTGAAAGACAAATGCAATAATTATTAATATGCTTTGTTTTCTGATAAAATATACACACTCTCACGCCAGGGATGGAAATGAACACCAACCATCAGCCAAATGCTGGTAAAACATAACAGTGGTTGGTAGATTTTAAATACATACAAATGTACCATTGGTTTACTACTGAATGGCTGGTAGATTTTCCCCAGTGGCTGGTAAATGTTCATGTGTTGTGTAAATATTCAAATGTTTTGAAAAATTAATTTCCAGCCCTGGCGCGCGCGCACACACCGGGAAAATAGGAGACACAGGGACAGTCCAACAAGGGAGCAAATAGCCTTGGTGCTTACTACAATAACAATAACCACAATGATAATAATAAATAACAATAATAATCATTATAATAAGTTAGTGTAGGCGCAAAATTCCGAAGAAAACAAGCGTCAGAATAGCTGCTGAAATTAGCTAGCAGGGATTCAACCGGCTAGCTAGGCTAGTTCATGCATACTCTAGTCTAGTCAGTCAAACTGTTAGCTAAAACCTCCCTGGACATATATTCCATAACAACGGAAATCAATGATGAGATGACTTACTGTACTGAAAATATTACATTACATTACATTACATTGCATTTAGCTGACGCTTTTATCCAAAGCGACTTACAATAAGTACATTCGACCAGGAAGACACAACCTTGAAGAAAACAGAATCATATAAGTACATCAGGTTTCATAGAGCCAAACATTTCAAGTGCTACTCAACTGGCTTTAGGTAAGCCAGTCCTTTATTAGTATAAAAGTGCTTCGTTAATAGTTCTAACGCTCGAAGTGGAGTCGAAAGAGATGAGTTTTCAGTTTGCGCCGGAAGATGTGCAAGCTATCTGCCGTCCTGATGTCAATGGGGAGCTCATTCCACCATCTTGGAGCCAGGACAGCAAACCCACGTGTTTTCGCCGATGGGAACTTGGGTCCCCCTCGCAGCGAGGGCGCAACGAGTCGTTTGGCTGATGCAGAGCGTAGTGCACGCGCTGGGGTGTACGGTTTAACCATGTCCTGGATGTAGGAAGGGCCAGATCCATGGTCTTCTCCCACGTCTGTAGCCACGCAAAATGTCAGTGAGTGACTATGTGACAGCCGTCCTCTTTGGTTACTCTTCAGCGAGCGTCTTAATCATTGGAATGGAATCAGAATGTAATGTCGTAGCGGAATGTCTAAATCCTACCCGGATACAGCCATGTTATTTTCTAATTGGCTGTTCGACAGCTTACATTCTTTTGATTGGTTGATGCGTGGCTACAGTGATTCTGTACTAGTTTGTTTACAAAATTGCGGCGCAACTTGGTGGGCGGTACCCTGGAAAGAAATCTCTGCGTGAGAAATACAAGGTGTGGCGTGTGAGCGTGTGAATGGAGTGAAATGCGTGTGTCTCACGCCAAATGCGTGAGACTTGAGAGGTCTGCAAACACAGATGTGACTGGGGTTGATTTAGCCTGCCGATAGCCTATATGCGAACGAGAGGTTTGGCAATGCACGTGGCCGTGGCTCATTCCCCCGATAGGTGGAGAGTTGACCAATAAGCGGAGCACGTCTTTGTGACGTAGAAAAGTATTGAAATCTGGATCCGTTTTTTTCAGATCCGTTGCAGCCCCTTTTTTAGAGATTTGGCTGAGGAGGAAAATAGAGAGGGTTGTGTTTTCTGACACTTGGTGAGTTCCCTGGAACATCGGGGACACATATTCATGTATAAAAAACGTACAAAGGTGCATTTTGCATGAAAGGTCCCCTTTAATGTGTTGCTTAAAATAATACTTATGCATACAGTATGTGACACTGTGAGTGTTGCACGGCCAGATACGGCTCAGCTGACTCAGATAAGGAAATATATGATACGATGCATAGCCGCGGGAAGTCATTTTGCTCAGGGGGTGCTGCCAAAAGTGGGGAGGGGGCCCAGCTGTCAGCGATACGAGCCGCATACATTGTTTGTTAAAGGCGAGATGTATGGGCGAGACACATCGTTTTTCAAGTACTGGTCAATTTTTAGATTTTGCGCTATTTTGATTTCATAACATGTTTTCTTTCAGGCTTTTGGAAGGAAAACGTACAAAATACACATTTAAGTGTTTATTTTACTATAGTTTGTCTATTTGCGTCTGTAGATTTCTCCTAAATTCACCAAAAATTAGCATTCTAACGTAACATTACAGCGACCGCTGTGTGCACCATGTCATCAGAGATATCGTTGGAAAGCTGTGTCTCTCCTGCACAATCTCATCGGATCCAAATATGGTCATTTCCTTTGTATCAGCAACCAATCGTGAAAGCACAAAGGGGTCTTAAACCAAGAAACAAAATCTCATTTCTGACAACGTGATTCGTTCAGATGCGTCACATGGTGTGCTAAAACACTTCCTGGTTAGCTTTCCGCTATAAATTTAAATCTCAAAATGGCAAAAGAACGGCGAAAAAAACGTTCACAGAGAAGACGACAACAATTGTCACTTGCACGAAGCAAGGTTATACAAAAAACAAATGACCCCGAACATGAAATACCTTCACGGAGTGCGTCGAGGCGCAAGCTGTCATCCAAAGAACAGGAAGGTTTAGCTAGCGCCTCACTGCAATCTTTAATGGTCGTTTTCTCAAAATGAGTTTTTTCTCCTACTCTGAGTTCGACATTTCAACTTCAGTAGCACGTAGATACACCAAACCTTCCAGGTATATTCCTATCAATATTATAAAGGCTTTTACAGAAGGGTTTGTTCATATATCATTCATAGCCTGAATTATACAACATTGTATACCTAAAAACATGGCGAAAATTGATATTTTAGGGCTGTTGACAGTATTTTCTGATTTATGGAGTGATAAAAAGAGATATCCAAAATCCCTTCTGTAAAAGCCTTAGATACTAATATGACTACAAAATGAAACAAGCATTTTGAACCTGGCTTTATCCAAAGTTCAGATTTCGGTTCCTGAAATGTGCATATTTAAACATGCTATTTCAGGAAACTTGTAATACAATAAACAATTGCCTTATTGTAGGCAATTAACTGGAGAAATGTCTAGCTGATATCTTTAAGTAAAAAAAAATGACACTATTCGCCTGGGGTGTCTCGCCTTAACTGTTAGGCTTAATAAACCATTATAGACCTACATCACTTAGCAACAGCTGCACATGCCCACATGCTAACTATGGGTCTTACAAACCTACATAACATTACAAATAGTCAGACGAAAATATTATTTAAAATATTAATAAAACTATGAATTCAATTTTAACTGATTGACAAGGCAAAACTCTGCACAGCGACATTAAAGGAAAATATCGTCTTACCTTGTTGGGGCTTCACAAAACTCCAAATGTAGCCTTCCTCTCTGGGGTGGCACTAATGAAGACCCTCATTAGAGCAGATACATCCACATTGTCCAACATGTTACTGTGGACATGCATCAAAGTCAGATGTGTCAGTCTCTTCTGTGTCATATTCTAGTTGTAGAGGTGGTGGGCTGAGGAGTAGCTGGTGGTCCACTCTTTTTATTGGGTTGTTTGTTGGAGAAAAAAATCCAAAATCCTTTTTTGCGCCATTCTAGAAAGTTGTCACTCTGCAGTGTGTGTGTCGCGTCAATTATGTCACTATCCCACGACCTACGACCTAGATGACTCGGATTTTATTTGGAAAATAAATTCAAGCCACCTGACTGATACAAATATATACTATGACTATTATATGCTACTGTATACAGCACATTTTATTTTAAGTAAAATCATAACTATTTTATGTAGTTTAATAATTTGTATGTAGGTGGTCACTCAGTTTTTCAAATGTACACCACTCGCCAACAGGGGGTGCTGCAGCACCCCCTGCACCCCTACTTCCCGCGGCTATGATACGATGTGATATGAATGATAATGGGACACATCGACTGTGAGAGAATATTTTAATCCGATCTCTTTGTGTCTTGAGTTTCTCAGCGTTTCTGAGAAACTGTTAAGATACAAACATATGCTTTTCGTGAAGTCGCATATACTCCTGCCTGTAATGTGAAAAGGACACAGGTCAAGAGGTCATCTGACTTCCTGTGGGTGAGAAGTTTGGCACAACAGGTCTTTGTTCCAATGTCTGGTAATGATTATGGTAGGAAAGGCGGGCTTTTTAGGACACTCCTTTTGGGGATATACAGATCCATGTTTAGCTTTATGTCTTTAGAGTGTTGCTAGGTAGCTCACAAGGAAGTGTGATATACTTTGAGACCTCTCCGGCCGTATTCTACTCACAATAAATATCAGTGTTGAACTAAAGTCGCTCCAGTTTCCATCCTTTCTGCACAGAAGTTTCCATCACATCGACGTCTGCACTCATAGTGCCGCGGACTGTAGGCAACGTAATGTTACTTTGATCCGGTTACTTATGTTGTGGCAGATATTTAAAGAGCCTGTGACACGAGTTTCCCCCATCATCCAAACCCATCAATTTGAGTAAATATTGTCCCCTTGAAAACCGTTACTATACTGATTTTGGATATTTGTACTTTGATAACCATTAATCTGCCCTTCAATGTTGACCATTTTCTGGATCTTCTCGGGGATTCTTCAAGTCTCGCCAAATTACGTGTGACGTCATTGCGGGCACAGCGCTCCAGCTGCACCGTTCAGGATCCCAGCATCTGAATGTAAACGTACGATGGCGCACACAGCAGCAAGC